CCTGTCCCTCTCCTTTCGCCCCGAGTCCTGCCCCGGGCCTGTCCCTGTCCCTCTCCTTTCGCCCCGAGTCCTGCCCCGGGCCTGTCCCTGTCCCTGTCCCTGTCCCTGTCCCTGTCCCTGTCCCTCTCCTTTCGCCCCGAGTCCTGCCCCGGACCTGTCCCTCTCCTTTCGCCCCGAGTCCTGCCCCGGACCTGTCCCTCTCCTTTCGCCCCGAGTCCTGCCCCGCTCCAAGGCCTCACTCGAATCCGGATTATTGACGCTGCCGTTGGACCCCTGGCCGCGCGTCACTAATCCGCGCCGCGGGGAAGAGGGGCCTGAGTTACTGTTGGCGCTGACATATTACGCAATGAGGTCGCGTTACTACCCGGATGAGCTCCAGCCCGCACTGGCCGCAGCCGACTCTATTGATCCCAGCCCGTCGCACTGAGACGGCCTGCTGTTCTGGCTCCATCCATATGCTGATCTTGCCCCCTGTCTTGTCCCTGCCCAGCCACTCGCTCGGTTCCCTGTCCTGGTAGCCCTCAGCCTTTGCCCGTCGCCAGGTCCCGGCTGCTGATGAAACCAACGCTGTCGGTGTCAGTCTCAAACTAGTTACAGTCATGGGGAACCATTCTATAAACTGCGTCTGTGGTAAAACTTTCAAGAGGAGCAGAATCAAGAATAAGGGAAACTGTGGACTGATTAAATATTGAATCTAACCAGAAAACTAATTAAAAACAACAGGAAAGTGATAGAAAGGTACAGAAGCAGTAATGGAATATAAAGAGAAAACACTGGACTGTTTCAGCCGAAGCATGTGGTCCACAACAATCACATCTACAGTGTCTGTAGCTTGAGGAACTTTGACTCATTGTGGATGAGCTGGATTCTGAAATTTGCACATTATGATGCATCGGGGGGAGGTAAATTATCAGAATATTTTGTTCCAGGAAGCAGTCACATATTTTAGACTACATAATTTAGATTTGACTTGTAGTGCAGGGACAGGTAGGTGTGACTGTAAGAGAAGCAGATGAAGGGTCTAGGCCCGAAACGTCAGCCTCTCTGCTCCTATGATGCTGCTTGGCCTGCTGTGTTCATCCAGCCCTGCACCTTGTTGTCTCGCTGCTTTGATTGCCCTCGTTTAAGAATTCCTTGACTGACTTTTCAGCATTTTATTATTTTTGTCCTGTAACTTCATGTGTTGCTGTTTCCCCATTAACACTGCATCGTCAGGTAATTGTGCCATTATGTAATTGTTTCATTTTGCTTAGTTTTTGGCCATTTGCCCAGGAAGCCAGATTTGAAAGGGTAAAAGAGAAACTCCAAATTGAAAAGAGAGACACCCAGAGCTGAAAGGGAGGACAGAGATAGTGAAACCCAAAATTGAAAAAGAGAGACCCAAAATTGAAAAGAAGACAGAAACTCAGAATTGAAAAGGAGAAAGAAAGAGAAACCCAGTGTTGAAACGAGAAGGTGTGAGTTCCAACATTAAAATGGGAGAGAAACCCAATGTTGAAGGAGAGAAAGAAAGACGGTACAAAAGGAAAAAGAATAAATATGAGCTACAAACATCCATTGGTATTGAGCCTGGAAGAGCAGGAAGAACAACACCCAAAAATAAGAGCTATCATTAATAGCGAGAAAGGTTATCAAAATTGCAGAGGGATCTTGATCAGGTGGGGAAGTGGGCTGAGGATTAGCAAATGCAATAAATACAGAAATGTGAAGTGTGGCACTTTGGAAAGTTCAAACCAAGGTAGGATTTATACAGTAAATGCAATAAAGTAAATGCATATATGGAATAAAAACAAAGTTGCTGGAAAAGCTCAGCAGGTCTGGCAGCATCTTTGGAGAAGAAAACAGAGTTAACGTTTCGGGTCCGGTGACCCTTCCTCAGAACTTATATGGAATATAACGTATATGGAATAGGCTGACAGAAAGTGGTTGAGACAGGTACAAAAACAACATTTAAAAAACATTCGGATGGGAAGGATTTAGAGGGATATGGACCAAATGCGGTCCTGAGGAGTGTTGTGGAACAGGGGGACCTAGGAGTACAAGTACGTAGTTCGTTGAAAGCGGTATCACAGGTGGACAGGGTGGTGAGGAAGGCTTTTAGCAAGCTGGCCTTTATTGATCGAGGCATTGAGTGAAGGAGTTGGGACATTATGTTACTGTTGTATAAGTTGTTGGTGAGGCCGCAATTTTGGTCACCCTGTTATAGGAAAGGCAGTGTTAAACTGGAAGGTGTGCAAAGAAGATTTACGAGGATGTTGCCAAGACTAGTAGGCCTGAGTTATAGGGAGAGGTTGGCCAGGATAGGACTTTATTCCTAGGAATGTCATAGAATGAGGGGTGACCTTACTGAGGTGTATAAAATCATGAGGGGGATAGATAGGATGCCTGCATATAGTCTTTTTCCCAGGGATGGGGAATTGAAAACAAGAAGGCATAGTTTTAAGGTGAGAGGGGAAAGATTTAAGGAAGACCTGAGGGGCAACTTCTTCGCGCATACCGTGGTGCGTATATGGAACAGGCTGACAGAGAAAGTGGTTGAGTCAGGTACAAAAACAACATTTAAAAAACATTTGGGTGGGAGGATTGAGGGATATGGACCAAATGTGGGCAATTGGAACTAGCTGAGTGGGCACCACAGACAGCATGGACCGGTCTGTGCCAAAGGGCCTGTTTCCATGCTCTCCTACTCTATGATTTTATTCTTCACTTTGTGCACAACCTTCAGGACTCCACATTGAATTCAACAACTTCACAGCATGTACTCTGTCCTCCATTTTTATTACAATGCCTCCTTCTGGCTTCTATGTCTGAATTGCATGGATTGGCTGTCAGGTAGCAAACTCGTTGGCATTCAGAAAACAAAGAGTAGGAATAAACAGGTCTTTTTCCAAGTGGCAGGCAGTGACTAGTGGGGCACTTTAGTACTTAGTATTTGGATCCCAGCTACTCACAAGACATAGTAATGATTTAGATGATGGAACTAAACATAATATTTCCAAGTTTACAGATGACACAGAGTTGGGTGGGAGGATGAGTTGTAAGGAGGATGCAGAGGGTGTGAGAGTTTCATTGTGATTTGGACAAATTGAGTGAGTGGGCAAATGCATGGCAGATAAAGTACAATGCAGATAAATGTGAGGTTATTCATTTCGATGGCAAAATTAGGAAGGGAGATAATTCAGGATGGCAGTATTCAAATATGGATCCCCAGATCATTACCTGGGTGTCTGGATTAATAGTCTATTGATAATATCACTAGGTCATCACCTTCCCATAGTGACAGGATTCATCTGTAGGAGCTGAGATGTCTTGCTGCAATTGTACAGAGCCTTAGTGGAAATGCATGTGGAGTATTGTGTGCAGTTTTGGTCTTCGTTTCTGAGGAAGGATGTTCTGGGTATGGAGGGAGTACAATTAATGTTTACTGGACTGATTCTTGGGATGGCAGAACTGACGTACGAGGAGAGACTGGATCAGTTTAGGACTGTATTCACTGGAGTTTAGAAGAATGAGTTGGGGGTGGGATCTCATAGTAACCTATAAAATTCAAATAAGACTAGATAGGGTAAATGCAGGAAGGCTGTCGCTCATGACCAAATAATCCAGAAGAAGGGGTCACAGTTTAAGGATAAAGGTAGCTCATTTAGGACTGAAATGAGGAGAAATTTCTTCACCCAGACAATGATGGGCCTGTGAAATTCTCTGCCACAGAAAGCGGTTGAGGCCAAAACATTGAATGTTTTCAAGAAGAAGTTAGGTATAACTGAAAGATAAGGTGAAGGAAGTCCCATGCAACATTTTCTTTGTGCTGCTGAGCAAAATTAGCACTTGGAGAAACACAGAGGCAGTATACCAGTTTGTCAATGCTAGCTGTCTGTGCAACCTGAAATTGTGCTTGTCGATAGGTACTGGAGTGCAGTTTCCAGAATCCAGGGGAATGCAGTTCTGATTGGGAGAGTGAATTACCAGAATGTTGTTGAAGCAGCCTGTGATGGAGCAGCTCATGAAGAAATTCCAAAGATAACACAGTGTGGAGCTGGAGGAACACAGCAGGCCAGGCAGCATCAGAGGTACAGGAAAGTTGATGTTTCGGGTCAGGACCCATCTTTAGAAATGGGTCCCGACCTGAAACGTCAACTTGCCTGCTCCTCTGATGTTGCCTGGCCTGCTGTGTTCCTCTGCTCCACATTGTGTTATCTCTGACTCCAGCATCTGCAGTTCTTACTTTCTCTGAGGAAATTCAAAAATGAAGACTTGGAAACTGACCTCAAGTTTTTATTGGTGACCCAAGTATTATTAAAGTCAGGGGGTTGCTGAGGAATCTCTGAGATCTGTCTTGACAGCATTTGCTATTTGATATGTCCTATGGAGTGACTGGCCACAATGCATCTGTTACCCATATTTAAATTAATTCTAATTGGATATTAGAATTTAGGCATATATATAGTAGATTGTCTTATATTCTTTTCTGACTTTGCATAGTAAAGTTTATTAGTGTTCGCCCAAACCTTAGAATGTTGTGGCTTTATTCTCTTCTGTAAGCATTTGGGATCAGACATTATGTGTACTTTTAAAAAAGAATTACTTGCCCTTAGTCAGATTGTAACATAAATTTGATGGTCTGGTCTGGGATCGTAACAAGAACTTTAGGGATGAAAATTAGCCATCCTTAACTGCGCTAGCTTGGATGTGACTCCAGATCCATAACAATGTGGTGTTTCTCAACTGTTCTCTGAAAATGCCTTGGTTAGATCCAGTGCAATTAGAGACAGGCAGCAAATTCCGGCCTTGCCAGTGATGCTTGCATCTCATTAAAGAATAAAAACAAACTGTGGAGGGTGAAGCAGTTAACGTTTAAGACTGATAAACTTTCATCGGAACTCGGAAGTGTGAATTGTTGTAGGTTTTGAGGAAGCGAATGGGAAAGGGTGGAAAGAAGAACAAAAGAGGAATCTGTATAGAGTGGACAGGAAAGGAGTAT